AGAAAGGGTTCAACATTTCACTTTGTGTACACACACAGACTTGTATGTAACAATAAAGATTATTAGCAAAGAAATTCTGGTGAGGCAGATTGCTTGGAAGGAGAAACACAACTCACAACACTTACTGCGTCTTTCTGGATGAGAAAGTTTAAACATGTCATGATGGGAGAAAGCTAAAGAGCAGAGAGATCCTTATTAGATGTGGAAGAAGTTTGGTTGCTGGGGCTGTCAGGAATGGTGCCCTGCACTACCTCTAGCAGTGCCCCTCTTCCTCATCTTGGAGTTGCCCTTTGGGTGACTACATCTGGTGGGAAAGGTTGCTGGTTGTGCAGCTGGGGCTCCTCAAGTATTTGTGGGCCTTTTTTTGGGGTTGCTCTAACAGGACCGGGCCATGTTTGAGAGGAAGTCCGCAGATGCTAGAGGGATGGCTTCTGAAAGACTTTGCCCCATCCCTAACATACATTTACATCTTTTAGTCAATGGGATAGGAAATGTGAAGTGCTGCCCTGTTTGAAATGTACAGCTTTCTTGTTTAGAAAAAATGAAAGACATGTTGGAAACGAACAAGAATTAGGTGAACCATCCTTTTGAGTGAGCTCAAACATTGTTGGTTCTTCTATCCCTGGAAGCTACCACCTGAAGATGGAACTTTACTCTTGAAGCATTACCTTTCTTCCATTACAGGTGACACAGTTCAGTAGAATTTGTATTGACTTTTCTTACATAGTACAACACCCAAAATTAATCTCCAGTTCTGCAAATAACAAAATAGCTCTATTTCTTTTTACTTTTGTTTTCTGTTTGTGTTGGCTAAGGTTGGAGAAAAATCTGAATATCGGGGTCTTTATTTAAAGAAAAATGAGTGAGTTGGTATAGAGAGAGCATCAGTCATCAGTTACATTTCATTTGTTCCAAGTGTCCTGTGTATAACCTAAACCCTACATGGAACTACTAGAGCCTAATCCAGTTTTGTTATGCCACATCTTCCTACCCTCCTTCATTATAAGATTCTAACCCTATGAACTTCATGCCATCATTGTTAATTTTTCTCCTTTTCTTGTCTCCTTGAGAATTTTTGTAACAATTTGCCTGACGAAGGGCTCTCAAACATCTTCTCATAAGTTGTGCATTTTTGTTTTAACCCAATAGAGGTATTGCCTGAATGTGGATTTTAGAATGCTTTATTTTATGTGTAATATTTTTTGTGACATATATTTTAATAGCTTTACATGCTGGTTCACAAATTTTCTGTCCATATCTTTTGGAAAAGCTCTTCTGTATTCATTCATCTATCCATCCATACATCCATTTGTTATTTGAATTCTATATTGCCCAGTAGCTGAAGCTCTGGGCAGTTTATTCAGGATTTTTCATGGAAGTATGTTTTCATGTGCACATTTCTTTACTTACACTTCTTAATGCTTGGAATATTTTGCAGCATCATAATGAAATAAGAATTTACAGCTAATTGAGGAAAAACATGGGCTATCTAGTCTAGCCAGAATTTTTGGACATCTGTAAATGACAATGTAGGTACTGCTTACATTTGTTAGAGGAGGGAAACCCTAAATGCATGGTTTCTCCATTAAAGGTCCTATTTTTGATTGCCACATGAATTTTCCCTATTTGTGATTGCGCATATAATAACAATTTATATAATGTTCTATTGTGTATAATATAAATATGAATTCACAGTCTCTGGGAATCACATAGGGAGGGGGTTACATGCTTATGCAAAATAGCAGTCTAAAGCTAAACAGAGCTTTTGGTAAGTACCTCACTCTCCTTCTGTTGTACATTCGATGTGTAGCTTCTGTCTGCCTCTGCATGGCTTTTATGACTTTTTCCAAAAAGTTTCCATGCTGACAGATACATGAAGTGTGTTCAGTGCCTTTGGGAAACTCACAGAGAAGATTCTTACACTTACTGCAAAGCATTTACTAAACAAGGTGAGAGGAATAAGCTGTCATATTTCTGCACTTCCCTCTGGAAACAAGCATTGAAAGCAGCAGATTTGGATACACAAAACCATTCATTACACACTGCCACGACTGCTGTCTGTAAGAGATTGCCTCCTTCCCCATCTTGTCTTGTGGAGAAAACAGCCACCCAACCTCCTTTTTGGGGGAAATCCAAGTACAACAACTGTGGGTTTCCTCTTGGAGCATTTCCTTGAGATTGACCCTTCAGTACCCATGGTTGAAACTGGGTAAGTCAAATAGGCAAATGCCAATTCAAAACACCCTGCTGCTAAAAATGAAAAAGACAACCTGTCCAGTTGAATCCAGCACTGAACAGGAACCTCTGTTGGTTCCAACACAATTGCCCGCAACCACTTCCACACCCACCAGTGCCATTTCTGGAGAATCCTAGCTGAACACAAGTCTAATGCCTGGATCCATGTTGGGCGAGTCCCCCTGCCCAACATTTCTTTCCCATATTGTGCTACTTACCACACTGCCAATCCCCTCATACGTACCGATTGCTTTGGCGCCAACAAGCCTCTCTGGTATCATCAGTCTCCTCAGAGAGTTTCCTCCAGGACCTCTTCATACTGCCAAGAGAAAACAGCATTCATTATCACTGTTACTCATTCCCTTCATATTACTGCAAAGATTGTTTGCCTCTTGAAAGGCACTGCTACGAATGTGGATGGCAAGAGCTGGATGCAACAACAGCCCCTTCTTCATTTTCAGGAAATCTGGAAGCCTAGACCTTCACGCACATTCCAAGGCTTCTGTAACTGCTCTTTCAGTGTAACTTGATCCAGTGATTTTAATTAGCTTGCCTCTGTATCTTCAGCCACCAGTTATGGTTAACTTAGGTCAGGGGTCCTCAGACTTTTTCAACAGGGGGCCAGTTGAAAGGCAGTGGCTGTGGGCCAGTGAGGCGGTGGTGGCTTGCTTGCTTGCTCAGAGATCTCCCAGCAAGTCCAAAACCATCCTTGAATGAGCAAACTGCCACTCGTGTGCAGCTGTGAGGTGGGCGGCAGCAGCAGGCGCAGGCATGGGGGGTCCTAAACCTCTGAGGCGGGCCAGATAAATGGGCATGGCAGGCCATATCCTGCCCGCAGGCTGTAGTTTGAGGACCCATGACTTAGGTCCAAAATGTCATTGCATATGACACCAGGCACCAGACTTTATGTCCAGAAGAGAGTTAAGTCCCTTGGCCTGCTACTAGCTCCTGTCACCCACCCAGTGTTTAACAGAGTTTAACCCACTGGTTTCAGTCCAGATACTGCTGACTCTAATCTTCACAAACAGTTGTGGACAAAACCTTCTTTCCTACCAGTTTTTTGCAAAATGGAGATTTTATACAGGGTCCAGGAAGAGATCTGCTCTTTCTGTTCACCACCTTGTTCCAAATTCTCATAGAAAATTTGTGATTGAAATCTAAAGAGAGAACACACTCCTCCTCCATGTATGCAGAGGGATGAATACTTTGTGATGAGCTGTAAGTAGTGTCATTCAGACTTTCACTCTTGTAACACAGCAAGACCAAGCCTCCTGTGGCAGAACATTCATTCTCAATTTCTTTTAAAAAGGTTTAGTCCTTTCCTCTGTTTATCTCAGCCTACCGCATCTACACAATACACATCTCCCATCTACACAAAAAAGTTGTGTTAATGATTTAACCGATGATGTTCATCCATCATTTTCGAATAGGACCTTGACATCTAACGAGCTGTGGGCTGTTCACTGTGTGTCCGCAGGTGGCTGATAAGGCCAATACGGGCACGGAATGTTCTGCCACATGTTGGGCAGACGTGTGGGCACTACTGTTGCAACATTTGTGTTGGGATTTCGGAGCTGGCTGGTGCATCACTTTGGGTTTTTTTGTGTTGATGAGGTCGAAGTTGTTGCATGCTGCTGCGAATTTGTCCATGTTGGTTTGCATTTCCTGCTCTGATCCAGCATTCAGGGCACAGTCATCAGCAAAAAGGAGGTCTCATAGCACAGTCTCCTTTATCTTGGTGACAGCCTGGAGTCTTCGCAGATTGAGCAGTTTCCCATCGGTCCTGTATCTCAGGCTGACTCTCAAGGAACTATTCTGAAAGGCGTCTGACAGCATGGCTGAAAACATTATGCTGACGCAGTTGACGCAGTTTGTGATTGGAAAGGCCTCTGAAGCCTTTCTGTCATCCAAAACACAAGCTGTCATGCCGTCGTGGAACTGACGTACCGTCAGGATGAATCTATCAAACTTCGACATGATGTGCCACAGACCTTTGTGACCGACAGTGTCAAAAGCCTTGGTGGGATTCATGAAGATGGTGTACAGTTCATGATTGTGCTCTTGACACTTTTCTTGGAGCTGTTGGGCTGCAAAGATCATGTCCACAGTGCCCCGCTCTTTGTGGAAGTCGCACTGTGTCTTGGGTTGTAGACCCTTTTCCAGGTGGTCATTCAGACAATTCAGCAACACACATGCAAGGATCTTGCCTGCAATGGAAAGCAGTGATGTTCCTCTTGTCAAGGTGTATGATAGACGCGTCTTTCAGTTCCTGAGGAATGGATCCTTGATTCCAGAAGGACTGGAACAGCTGGGTGAGTTTGTCGACAAGCACTGCACCACCTTCCTTATAGACGTCTGCTGGGATTGCATCAGATCCTGGAGCCTTACCACTGGACAGCTGGCTGATGGCCTTTAGGGTTTCATTCTATAATGGTGGGATATCCAGGCTGTGATTGATAACCGCCTGGGCCATTTGTCAATCACCTCATTATTGGTGGAGGATGGGCAGTTCAGTACGGATTGGAAATGCTCAGCCCAATGCTGTAAAATTAAGAGTCTTCTCAGTAATGAGAGTTGCACCATCTGAGTCCAGTAGAGGAGAGCTCCCTGAGGGCTGAGGTCCGTACAAGGATCTGAGGGCTTCGTAGAACCTTTTGGCATCATTTCTATCAGCAAACTTCTGGATTTCATCTGCTTTGGCACAGCCAGGAGTCCTGCATCTTGCGAAGCTTGCTTTGTATGGTCCTGTGAATGTTGTTGAAAGCATTTTTCTTAGCTGACGACGGGTGCACTTCACAGATGAGAGTAGGGCATCAAGATCTTCATAAAACTTATCCTTTTCTTCATCCAGATTCATCACTGTGGGTGCGTGGGCACTGATTAGTGTGGCTTGCTTTCCTCTCGGTAGTGGGAGATGCAGGGTCATAAGTCGGTCGTTCACGCCCTTGCGAAGACTGGCAAGTGTGTGGACAAGATGATTCTTAACCGCAAAGCCAACTCCAGATTCACGACATTCATCACTGCTGCGTCCACACCAAAAGAATGTGTAACCGCCTCCTATTTCTGTCAGCTGACTTTCGTTGGCTAGGTGAGTTTCACACAGGGCTGCAATATCGATGTTAAACCTTGCGAGCTCTCTGGCAATCAAGGCTGTTCTTTCTGGTCAATCTGCTGAGGGGTTATCTTGAAGTGTGTGTACGTTCCATGTGCCAATAGTGAGTGGTGTTACCTTGCGTTTTATTTGAAGCTTTGTTGTTTGACTGCATGAGATGGGATCCCCTCCAGCTGGCCAGGGTTCTATGAAGCAAACAATGTTTAGGGCACCTTTTCTAGCCCCTTCCTCTTACTACGGAGGTGAGCAGTGCAGTCCTGAAGAGGGCTGCTCAGTTGCTCAGTTAGATGCCGAATCCAGCTGTTCCTTCGGTCAGCAGGAAGATAACCATAAGACCTGAGCTGCTTGTGTGCAGGTCCGTGACTACTGCTCCCAGTGTATCCACACCTGCTGCTTCGTCGCTTGCCCATCGCCACAGGACTTTGAGATTTACGGGAGTTTGGGATGTCAAGACATGCACGTGGATTGGATTAAAGTGAGGGAGATGTGCGCATAGTCAGCCTCACTCTCTCTTCCCAGATTCCATCTTGCTCCAGTGGCAGGACAAAAGTCGAGATGGTTGGAGATGGGCTGGGCACAGTGGCTGACCAGGGTACCTTCGTGTCTTGCTGTGCTCTTAGTGTACCACAACGCTTGCAGAAACCACCTTCATGACCTTTGGTCCTATTCTAGAAGGTCTCATCCGCTCAATCCGCCAGAGTCTGTCTTCAGATGCTCGGGATAGACAGGTCCCTATCTCACCGAAGGTCAGTGACCCAACGGCTACCCTCAACCTGGTTTGGCCAGTCTGTTGAAGCTGTTGCCTGGGGTGTGGCTGCTGCGCATGCTACAGCTCCTAGAAGCCACAGGTGAGAGCTGGGTGATAAGTGGGGACCAAAGGTGGACGAGTTGCCCTGAGAGGACACGACATGCCCCTACACCAGAGGTACTACCCCTCCCTGAACACCCTGTACACCCCATACACTTAACCAATAACCACCAGCAAAAGCCCCAATTCCCTCATAAGGTCTATGATGCTAACTCAGTCACAAAGCCCTTTGAATCTCTGTTCATGGTGGAGTTCTGTTTTCCAACCACAGAGACTGTGTTTCTGGTCACCATTACCTCACACATGGCTTTTGCAAACTCTGTGCACTCCTTCAAGGTTGATGCCTCTCGTGATGGATAGTGCTGCCTTGACTATTTAAGGACTGGCGTATGAGAACTGAGTTCACTTTTAGTGGATATAACATGACTGTTTGCTTCAGTTTTATGGTGTAAAAACTGTCTAGAATGAAAACATCATACCAGAACATTTGAACTAGTGATAAAAAAATCATACATTTGTTCTGTAGAATTTACACATATCAATAGAACTGATAAAGATAAATTTTTAACAGCAATATGTAATCTCACCACAGTGTACTTGTGAACTCTTCATCTTGTACTTCGGGAAAAAAATGTTATTTGTCTACTTCATAATAGAAAGTCTAAGCAAGGCTGGAATGTGAGCCATTTCTAGTTTCAAGTAATTGTAATTGTATCTTATTAGATGCCTCGAAACTACACAGATACTTGTATTCATTTTATTTGCTATTTTGCTGTGTTCACCAAATCTTTCCATAGAAAGTTTTGCATGACAGAGGAAAATCCTAAATACAATTTTCTTCTGGAGCAAATATTGATGAACACTGAATTAAACTAGTCTCCTGCTGCATGTAGCTCTACTGAATGTACAAAGTGAGAAAGTAGAGAAGTCTTGCTAGGTACAACGTTGCTACTCATGCTCTTACTGAAATTAGTTCTGAATTTATGTCTGTGCTAATCAGACTCACTGAAATGTATGCTTGTGGACTGCATAGGTATAATGCCTGCAGCTCCTCTACCATATCTCAGTGGCAGACTTCTGGTTGGTTTTACTGAAGCCTAAATTCCTTGCTGCATAAGCTGATAATCTAAAGCAGGAGTAGGCAACTTGGAGTCTTCCAGGCATCTTGGACTGCTCCCCCCATTTTCATTGATCATTGGCTATGCTAGCTGGATTTCCAAATCTCTGGAGGACACCAGGCACCAGATCGCCTACCCCTGCTCTAAAGCAGTTAACAATTACATAAGGTGATAGCATAGTTTTGAATATTAAACTATTCACTTTCTGGGGATTTTTTTCTCTTTTCAATGGTCATTATAAAACTGAAAGGCTTACACGGGCTGTGGTATAATTTATTAGTTTCTGGGTTATATTTTCCTGATGGTGGAAAAGGCTTCTAGAAACCTTCTAGAATTGTAGAAATGCAAGATGCCAGGAATAGCAATCCTATGAAAAGTGAGAACTGTACTGGCACAGAACAGTATTCTTCATACAGTAGTGCTTGTTTCAACTGATGTGGAGAAAAATGAGATCTTATACTTTCCATGGTCATCAGTCAATTTGAAAAGTAAAAATATGTAAGGGAAAGCCTCCAGTGATGATTCATTTACTGGACAAACAGCGATGTGCAAAGTGATATATGATGCTTAGCCATGTCTTCAGTTTGACAGAAAGTTTACTAATTGAAAAACCTGACACTTTTAATTCAATTTTGTATTTTTAACTAGTAGCTTACATTTTGTGAATGAGTCATTTTCCAATTTAAATTTAATTTCAACTTAAAGTATTTTTATAAATCATAAAGTAGTGTAAAGATGGTGAAATACGAATAGGCTTATTCTTGAAGGCAGGCAAGCTCAAATAATGTGAAAATGATGATATGTGAGTAGGATTATTCTTAAGGGGATCCAAGCTCCATTTTTGACTGACAAACGTATCTGCTAAGCTGCTAAATGTCACTACTGAAAATATCTGATTTGGCTTTGAGAGTTCCATTGGATCTAATTTTCACTCAGAGGTCATCCTCTGTAGATTTCTCTGAACATCCACTGTGATAGCCTCCTGTGTCCTGAATTATTGCATAGGTCACAAAATGAAATAATGTAGATGAGAGGTGGGGTATGTCTCCTACATGAGTAGCAAGCAGTCTTTTGTGTCATAATGGAACCACAGAAATAAAATACCCACCAGAGCAGAGAATTGACAAATATATCTGTGAACACAGAATGTAGAATTTGTTACATGCTGACATGTTTTGTTAAGCTTGAGACTTGGAAATAGTGCTAAACAATATTAAGACTTAAGTAAACTTTGAATATGACAGTTGTGCACATGCACTACAACAAATAAAACATGGTTCATACAGTCCTACCCTTGAGCGCATGTAGGTAAATCTTATAAATATGTCCCCATTAATTTTGAGAAAATTAGAGTTACTAACTTAGCCTTCTGTCTCCATTGTAATAAGTTATGGAATACGCATGAGAGAGCATCTAGGGGCCCTTTGGAAGGATGCAGACTCAAGTGGCCTGAAGAAGCCTATTTACTACTCATTTTGAATGGAAGTGAGGAGGACTAAGACTATATTTATCATTTTTAAGTTCATTTTTTTTGCTGTTCCATAGCTGAAGCTCTCTGGGCGGTTTACATGTAATCATTCTATTAAAGCACTTCTAACTGGCTTCTGGGAGCAGATCAGATTCCCTAGCAACTAGGAAGAGGGGTGTATAGCCATTGGAAGGTTTTTACAGGAAATACGGAAAAGAGCATCTTGTTGAGCCTGCAGAAGTAGCACCCCTCCTCTGCTTCCCAGCCATGCTGCCATTTTCTCCTCTACTCCTAGAAATGTTTCAGTTGTAGACTACATTTACTACCTGCTCCTCCTGTGCAGAATTGAACACAGTATGAAGAAGAAGAGAACCTCTTGCTTTTGCTAGCTAGATAGGTGTAGCTTATGTGTGGTTTTAGGGAAGATGGCTTGAGAGAAAGATACCCCAAAATTTATCATATTCTTTTGTTTGCTCCTGCTTCCTTAACTTCAGGTGGTTGGTCTTGGTAGCTGCTGCTCAGGAGGCTCTTACTAGGTTCTGTCAACTTGTAGCAATTTTGTTTGGATGCCCAACTGGGGAAGTAAGGATTTGATAAGAATTTGCTGCTAGTATTCCAAGAAGGAGCATGGGAGGAGGCATACAAATGCTGCCCTATGGACACTTTCCAGGTCTGTTTACAGCCAGGCAGTAGTGTAGCTCTGGTGCTTGGGAGGAGGAGTGAAATAATCTGCTGACACAATTTGCTATCTGAAATGGATGCTTCACCTGCTTTCTAACAGCTCTGCTTCTTTGATGTGACCTTAATTTCCTAGGTAGCAGAAGGTGAACTTAGAATATTAGACTTTCTAAATTTCTTATTGCTGCAGGAATGGCTGTAAATGAATTAGTTCCGTTCACTACAGACTGAATATATTTCCATGGTTCCTTGCAACCTATTTTTAGCAAGAATATCTTCCTCTGGTAGAGTTTATGTGTAATTGTTAGTTGCTGTAAGCCTTACAAGGTAGTTAATGACTGGTCAGAAGAGTTAAATGTCATCTTAGGGAAGTTGCCCAATGGTGGTTAGGAAATAGCATTCAGTGCACTTGTTTTTAAATCACAGATTTTTATCTAGTGCATGGGTTTCAAGGCATTCTTGGCAAGATCTGCTTCAGTAATTCATACTAGCTTATTTCACCTGTCTTTGCCTTCCATAACTGAATTGCTTCCATTCTGCCCAGTACTTTAGTAAGAAAATGCCAGTCTAGAATTTTTAAATATAATATAAATCTAATATTTAATCTATAAATCTAATACTAAACATATTCAGAGTTATTATGTGAAACTTATCTGTGCAAATGTTTGAGTAGTACTCGTTATAGGTAGACCCCTCTTTTTGTATTAAGTACTTGCAAAATGGAGGGAACATGATCCAAAGCCTCTCATGTAACTTACTTTCTTTTTCCTGCCATTGCTTTCAAGTTCCTATTTTAAATAAACCTAAAAAACTGAATAGGATAATATTTTATCGTAATACTCAATCTCATGAGGACTTCCAGAGTAACCACTTCATCTGCCTTGCTTCAGCTCAGCTAGAGGTA